ATCTGTTGGCTTGATGGCCAGTCGTACCCACCTGGTGATCGCGTTGCTACTTCGCATTTCGGTGAGCAATTTGTCCAGCTGCGCCATCAGCTTCTTCATCGGTGCACCGTCACATGGTAGGTACGCTTGCCGGTCCTCCAGCAGGGCGTTGGCCTTCTGAATGTAGTCGCTCTTATCCAACACCACAGTGGAACGTACTTTGTCTGCTGGGAGAATCACGATGCTGGTGTCAGCCCTCAGTGTTTTGAGTGCACTCTCCTCTGCTCGGGCAATGATTGCGCGCGGTTTGTGCGCCATCACCAAGGTTGTTACCTGTTGCCGTATGAGGTGCCTCGTCTCATCAGATTCCCCGGTTTGTTTAAGAATAGATTCGACCGTTGCGACGAGGTTGATTGGATCGGCATCCGTGGTGTTGAAGCAAGCTTCGTGGCTCAGCACTTTTACTTGTGTTGGTGTTAGCTGCTGGGAGGACATGTTGTGCACAAGAACTTCGCTCTCCTCTTCCGATGAGTTGGATAGATTTCTCAGCTTCTCGCCCAGTTCGAAATCTCTTTTCGTTCATAGATCTCTGGCCCGTTTAGTGATCACCTGTCGCAACAGCATATTTTTAAGCAAAAACCAGCAACTAAACGAATATTTCATTTAAAGTTTATTTTTTACCGAAAATATCACAGATGAGGGGTGGGGGAATTGTAAAGGAAAATAAATAACCAAAAACTAGTAGCAGGTGCAAGATAATAGTATGGAGTTAGTTGTAGTTTAGTGAAGATAGCTTTTATGGCCGCCTACACAGGACACTGAAAGAGGTACCGCAAAATTCCTGGCCAGTTAGGTCTAGGATTGAAGTAAGAGCGAGGGTTAAGTTTAGAATTAGGCTTTAAATTGGGGTTAAGACCAGAGTTGGGATCAGGAACAGGTGGGTGAGGAAAGAGCGAGTGGGGTAGATGCATCGCAAGCCAACCAGCACAAGAAAATGATTCACACACAAGTCGCTCGTAAACATTTGGAGTCAAGAAAGTGATACAGTTTACGTTCGTCAACTTTAATAATGAAAAAGCAACAGTAATCGGAGCAAAGTTCACCGAATTCCATGGTGACATTAACATGTTCTTCGTTGCAATTTTGGCGTTTCTGATCTAAAGGATTTCAATCTGATGGGAAAGAGCAAATAATTTTCCTATTAATTACGTGGAGAACAGCGCTGCTTCTGACAAGAAAGATCCTGATTCTCTCAGAATAAAATAAATATCTTTAGCTGAACTAACATTTTTCGACGCAGAAGTGATACTGTGTTTCCAAGAAAAAGTAAGACAGAGCGAAGGAAGTTGATACTTCTGTTAAATTGCATGCAAAGCAGATGAGGATTTCGCAGTGTTTGTCTAAACGAGGTAAGCCTCGGGAAGAACACTGGTAAGTCACATTGCATAAAGGTACCGGTCTTGGAGACATCGGCACAGCAATCAAAAAGACAATAACGCCAGTGGCTCGATTGCTTATGGCCATTGTTTTTCTTATTCCAGCTCTCTGCAATGGAAAAACTAAATTTTAAACGCAACGACACTTGCTTATCGGTAACTCGAACACCAAAGTTATATCGCGATCGACGGGTTACCCTTTATGAAAAGAAAATGTTCAACCATCCAGAAAGCATTGTGAGCGATAGCTTATTATCCATCCGATTTAAAAAACGACACAGTTGTGAGTTGCATAACTGATGCGCTCTGTAGACTTAAGCACAACTTATGGACATTTGAACATATATCTGCGCAACAAACATGGAAGAAAAAACCAAACTTTAAAATTAAAAACGCAGTACAAAAACTCAAAACACCAGAAAAATAACAACAAAAGTAGGATGATTGAGAGTAATGCGGAAAAAATATAATTTCTATGGTAACATGCTTTAAATGAAAACTCTTTTAGGAAGCACTAAAGGAGAATGACTAGTTTTAAGATAACTACGGATCTTCACATGCGGTAGTGATATTTATTGTATAAAGGGGCTGAAATCAGGCTGACACAACCTCCCTACGACACTTGCTAAAGTAAAACGTAGACGGCCCACGGTTAATGAAACGCGAACACTTCATTTTGATCTTTGCCTCAGTACTACCAAGGTACAAAGGCCATTCCACCACAGCATCGTTGATTTGGCACCGTCTTTTTCATGACCATTTCTGGTAGTTTTTTGTGGGAAGTGAGTCACCGCGGTCACACCACCTTCACGAGCCTCAGCACTTGTGCTGTTGGCGTCATATGATCGCAAAATACCCACCCACGCACACTCCAAGTTGTATAAATAGTTCACCCAGCCGACATTTGGCCAAAGTCGAACAAACTAGCAATGTTCGCGTTCAAGTTGATTATTCTCTTTCTCCTCACAAAACCCCTGGTACAGGGATTCTCCGTGCCTCTCCACTCACTATTCCACTTTTTGGACGAACACGGTGAGCTTGCTCTCGACGAAAAACCGGTGGTCAAATCACTCATAGACATACCCGAGGATGCTGAAGACGAAACCCCGGAAGGACGCTCACCCATGTTGGTGGAAAAGTTAATCAAGAAGCCAAAACTCCGACAAGATGGTGTACATCTTGTCTTTTTTCCCCAATAAAATCACCACTCTTTTTCAGTAGAATTTTGTGCAATTATTCAATTTTTGAAAAAAATTGAGGGGAAAAACAGGCCGAAATTGCATGCGAAGATCGTTCAAATCTCAAAATTAAAATTTTATGGTGGCATGTCAAAAGATTGAGTAAAACGAAAACTGTGAAAATTTTTGCTGCAGGAGTCAAGGAGAGCATGCTTAGACGCACCGCTCCATAATATAGGAAAGGTGTGCAAGCTTTCAAGCATTCTTAAGTATTGGGAGCAAAGTAAACAGGTCTGGGTAAAAGTTGAGTTGGTAGCTCACCTTATATACCCCTAGCCCCTAGTCCTGTGGTTACCTTCAGTTTTATTAGTTTTAGTTTAGTTTAAATTTGCTTTTTAGTTTATGTTAATATCGCCAACGGAAGAGTAAGCGCAGTACTCTGACAATGGAAGCGAGTGTGCTTTTGAAACGTCAGTCCGAATATAGTTTGGTCCACGAACCCACCCCCTCCTATTCCTTTCTTCTTTGGGAGACGATGAACTCGGAAACATATCTGGACCCCGAATCTTTAGGCATATCAATTAAAGTAACTATAATATAATAACAAAACTAAACTAAAAAGTAAACTTAATCAAAATTATTATAAATTAACAAAACTAAACTAAACTTATACCACCGGTCCCACAAGAGCGAATTATTAGGCCAAGGGTGTGTAAGGTGGGCGAACAACGTATCTCATAGCAGATCTGTTTTACTACATTATGAAACTGTCCTTGGTTTTTGACCGCTCGTGTGAGGTTCAGACCCAGAAATATATTATCCTTGTTGTTTTTTTTCATGCTGAAGCAGATCCTGTAGGCATAATCCAATTATTTTTTTACAGCTCCCTTTCATGTACTTAACCACTCCTAATGGACGCAAAAAAAGGTTAAAATGATCCAGTTAAAGCCAGACTAGTGAATATTTTGTTGTCTTGGTTCGATAAAAGAAAAGGAGCCGTTTTATTCTATAATACTGGAAGGCTTACACCGGACCTAACAAATAATTCCAAAAAATTAAAGTTCGAAAAATATTATGTCTGTAGTTTATGGTGGGACGTACCGCAGCGGCAATAACGGCTAAGGGTAACGGATACTTTGCGGCAGTTTCTTTGGTGACCAGTAGAAAACTAAAAAATAGATATAACGTCCATCGAAAGGGTATCACAAACATGTGCATAGAAATAGCAAGACAACTTAAATCGGCCGCAAACCACTCACTTGACTACGCTGAGGAGAGGTACCAGAGTGGATAGCAGTAACCATAAGATACAACTGCCATTGCAGTTGGTGACTTTACCAGTAAACAGTAAAAAACCAACTGATGACTATGACGCCCGGTGAAGGGGTTATGTTAGAAGTCCATAGGAATATCGATATTCACTACCACCGGCTGTAGGCGACCCACACAAATGTGCCTAAAATGGTAGGGAGGAAACAGTACACGGATTAGGCAAAAGTAGCGGCAGAAGGTATCGGGTACTGTAGGCCGAACTTGCGGGCAGCAAGCAGAAAACGAATTGATGACTATGACATCCATCCAAAATTTATTATAAAACCGTAATCCGTAGGAGACAATCTCATTACATCAAACTGGTGTCGTTAATTTGACACATGAGTGATAGATGGAAACCGAGAAAATCACTATTAACTGCAGCTCACTAGCTGTCACCTACTACAGTATGGTGAGTGTTGTAAGAAAAATGCCGCAGTTTGCGAAAAACTGGTAATCACTCGCAAACAAACATCAAGAAGGGTTGCAATACTGATTATCCTGCAGTCTAATCTCAAGTTTTTTCAGACGTACCAGGATTCCAGCTCTTTAATGAGTTTGTTTGTACCCGCTTATATAAGGTAGATTTTGTGAAAATTGGCTACTTAAATAGTACGCATCTTTAGGATGGATTTCGACTGCCTTGCTAACTTCAAAGATATTTTATAAAAAAACTTACAGGAAAATATTTTTTCTTGTACGCGTTTGATAGAACTTACGCCGTTTTGAAATTTTATAGTTAAAGAAAAATATCCTTCGATTTTAGAAAGATGTCTAGTTATGAGCTTTTTTACGAGTGTGAAGTGTTCATTCATACTAAATTTTATCCGTCACTTTATTAATGCTGCTTATGATGTTTACATCATGATCCACATTCACTGCAAATTTGTATGAGGACTACGCGACTTCTTCCTCAAACCGTAGGCGAAAACGTCTTTTCCTTAAACAGAATGTACACAGCATGCTGTTTGGTAACCTTGAATTTAAGTGTAGCAGTCGGTAAAGTTCGAAACTATTCGACAATTCAGAAACGTTTTTTTTAAAACCGAAAGATACCCTTTCTTTAAGTATAAAATTTAAAGAAGGCGTTATTTCCTACCAAACGAGTACAATATAGATGTTATCCATAAAATATACTTAAATTCATACAGGAAGTCAAAATTAATGATGAAGACGTAAACTACTTAAGGAGCCATCTTTTACAGAATCTGCACTTTGTAAGCGGTCAGAAGGAAGCTCATTAAAGGGCCGGAATCCCGGAAAACTGAAAAGACTTGAGATTAGATTGCAGAATAATCAGTATTGCAACCCTACTTAATATTGGTTTGCGAGTGATTAACAGTCATTCGCAAATAACGGCATTTAGCTTGCAGCCTTCGCCAAACTCAGACAAGGCAGGGGAGAAGGGGAAGACGTTGGACAAAGATTCAATAAATTACGTTATCAGTGGTCGCTGTGGTAATCTTTTTTTCATACAACTGATTGATTTTAACTGCGGATCTTTACGTACAACTGAATGCAAGGCAAATGGGGATTTCAAAGTCCAAGTTAACCTGGTGAAAAATAGGGCCAAGTTGGACTGCATAAACGTACCTGTTTTGTAGACTCTGGAGCAGCAACCGAAAACGAAGTTGCATCAAGAAGGGCAATAACGCCAGTGGATCGATTAATTATGGCCATTTTTGTTTATTCCAGCTCTCTATAACGAAAAAGTTGAAGTGTACACGTAACAGCACTTTCCTATTGATAAGTTGACGTATAACCATTTATTGTAAGCAGATGCTTATCATGTATTCGATTTGAAAAATGACACAATTGATAGTTGCATGACTCATGCACTATGTAGAGAAAACCATACCTTACAGACATTTGCACGTGCGTCTGACTAGCAAAAATGAAAGTAAAGCAAGATTTGAACTTAAAAACTTAAAAATCCTTTAAAAAGCACTTTGAAGAAATGATTAATTTTAATATTTATACTAGTCTTCGTATGTGATCGTGATTTTTATTGTAGAAATTAGGTACAGTATGCATCGGCACGACATTTCTTAAAGAAAACATCGGTCGAAAATCCTAATGAATCACGATTGCTTTACTTCCCATAAATAAAGAAGAAGACTTCTCGAGCGCTGGATCAGTTTGTTTATTGTCCTGAGCCTTCAAACCCCTATAGGAGTCCATTTTCAGGAATAAGAAGCAGCAACCAAAAGGAAGGTAATTATAGTGGTCATTGGCCAATCAGCTGTCAGAGATCATTCACTCGTCAAGGGGTAGGAAACAGCAACCAAAAGGGATAGGGGGAGTAATAATAGTGGTATACGCTAATTAATTGTTAGTGAAGTCGAGAGTCGGTCGGGGTCATGAACAGCAATTATTGTAGCGCCTTGTCCCCACGGTAGCGCCTCCTGGTAATCCTGCCTCCCCTTCTGGTCGGTTCGTCGTGGGGTCGTATTCACTTTCAATTCTTACGTTCGATGTGACCTTTTTCGGTCCTTTACTTACATAATAGCGTAAGGATTTGTAGGCCACGGAAAGGTGTAGATGCCTGTTGACGGAGATGGCATTTGAGTGCCATGCCTTAAGTGTCAGTCTTTCGGCTTTTGCGGTTTCTCGGCCTACGATGGTTGCTCTTTTAATATCGAATTCATGACCAGTCTCTCCAATATGTACTGAAAGCTGCGAGTGTGGCTCTAGGCTCCGAGCTGTTGGTTTGTGTTCATGTAGGCGGGTCTGCAATATTCGGCCTGTTTCTCCAACGTTATTGCAGTCTCTAATCCCCTCCTTTATGCCTCGGTACTACCAAGGTACAAAGGCCATTCCACCAGAGCATCTTTGATTTGGCATCCTTTTTTACATCACTATTTGCGGTAATTTTTTTGTGTGAAGTGAGTCACCGTGGTCACACCACCTTCGCGAAAATCAGCACTTGTGCTGTTGGCGTCATATGACCACAAAATACCCACCCACGCATAAGCCAAAGTGCATAAATATTTTGCCCAACTGACACTTGACCATAGTCGAATAGACTAGTCATGGTCGCGTTCAACTTGATCATTCTCTGTCTCCTCACGAAGACTCTGGTACAGGGATTCTCCGTGCCTCTTCACTCGAAATTCCACTTCTTGGACATAAACGGGGAACTTGGTCTCGACGAAAAACCGGTGGTCAGATCACTCGTAGACATATCCGAGGGTGTTGAAGACGAAATCCCAATAGGACGCTCACCCATGTTGGTGGAAAATTAATACAAGCAGACAAAATTCCGGCCAAGTGGTGTACTTCCTGCCTTTTTTCGTCAATAAAATCACCACTGTTTTTCAATGGAATTTTGTACAGTTATTCAGTTTTTGCAAAATGGGAAAACAGTCCGAAATTACGTGCGAAAATCGAAGGTGAACACATTAGTATGTTGCCAAAGAAAGGTAATAGTTAAGTTCTTCGCTCACCTTAGATACACCTAGCCCCAGTATTCTATCTTACGGGACCGGTGGTACTGGTTAATTTCTAGTTTAATTTTGGTTTTAGTTTGGTTTGGTTTCTATTTTGGTCTGTTTTGTTTAGTTTAGTTTAGTTTAGTTAGCTTGCTTTAGTATGTGGTAGTCACTTAAGTGTATTAATCTAATGTTGACGGTATCTAACTAAACTATAAGGTAAATTGAACCTCAAATTAAACGTATAAACTGGATAATAAACTAAAAACTAAACTAATCTTAACCTAATAAATCTAAAAGTAGCTACAATACAAGGGGCTAGGACGACCAACTTAACTCTTACCCAAAGAAACTATTCGAAAATGTATATGGTCAGTGACCTAACAGTTAACAAGAGGCTTGATTAACTGATCACCTATTTGGCTGCTAAGATCTCAAAATTTAGTTCGTAGGGATGAAAGACATTTCGGAATGTTAAAAGACTTACTAAAACGGAAACTAAGAAAAGCATGCTGCAGGAGTCAAGGATCGTATTTTTAGACTCATTGCTCCATAGTATAGGAAATGTGTACATGTTTTTTAATAATTGTAATAAGTGGACGCAAACTAGGCAATAGTATACTAGTCTGTCTTGATACAGTTTCAGGTTGTCCATTGGTTTTCAAACTCTTGTATGAGATGGAAACACGCCAATATACAGTCCTTTTTGTTCCATTCGTCTTTGATAAAACGGATCCAGTAGACATGATCTTCTTCATAGTTTAACTCCTTTTGATTGATTAAACCATTCCTAGTGGATTTAAAAAAGTTGAACGGAGGCACTAAAAGCAAGATAAGTGAGCTTTTTGTTGTGTTGATTCGACAAAAGGAAAGGAGATGTTGTATTTTATAATAATAGAAGGCTTACAACCGACATAGCAAATAATTCCGAAAACGTAGAGTTGGAACACTTTTACCTTTGTCTAAGCAATTGCAATACAGCTTTTGGTGGGACGAAATGCATTGGCAATAACGGCCAATGGCAACGGATAAGTTGCGGCAATTTCGTTGGTGACCAGTAGAAAATAAAAAAGACAGGTATGACGTCCACTGAAAGGGTATCACACAGCAAGCAAGACTTACTAAAATCGGCCGCTGACTACTCACTTGACTATGTGGAGGAGAAGTACCAGAGTGGATAGCGGTAACCATAAGATGCAACTTGTATTGCAGTTGTTGACCTTATCAATTAACAGCAGAAGATTGACTGATGACTATGACGCCCAGTGAGGTGGTTATGCTAGGGTTTTATAGGACTAGCGATATTTTCTACCATCGACTATACGCCACCCGCAGAAATGCGCCTAAAATGTTAGGGAGGGGATGGTACACGGATTAGGCAGCAATAGCGGCAGAAGGCATCGGGTGCAGTAGGGCGAACTTGCGGGCTGCAAGCAGAAAACGAATTGATGACCATGACATCCACCGAAAGTTCATTATAAACCGTAATCCGTAGGAGCAGATCTCATAAAAATCGAACTGGTGTCTGTAATTTGACACGTGCGTGATGGGGTAAAGGGACAGGCCCATGGAATAACACCATTAACTGCAACTGGCCGGCTGTCACTTACTACATACGGCAGGGAAGAAGGGGAAAAGCCTGGACGAAAATTTACTAACTTACCTTATCAGTACTTGCTGTGGTAATCTTTTTATCACAGAAACGATCGATTTAAAGAGAACAGGCAAGGTCCTACAAGGTTCTATGGATCAGTACGGTTTACAAAGACGACTAGTATTCTAATAGAGTATGTATCAGTGCATGTATACGGAGGTGGTTACACTTACTTTGCACGTCTAAATGAACGCCCACTGGCCCCTAACGGAACTCCTTGTCCTGCCCTGCCGTAGGGCTATCTCTTGAGCACCACCAAAAACCGTACAGCGGCCGGTATGCAGAAGCGGATCAAGTTGGTACAAATCGCATGGTTCCACTTTCTAGTGGCATTTGAAAAGCAGAAGTGAATTTTGTTTTACAAGGCAGAAGGTTGTTTTAAACATAATAGACCACAAAAATGGCTGAATTTAACTCCACTCAATGTACGAAACCCGCTTTAATTCGAAAGGCACACTTCCTTTACTGATCAAAAGGAAAGACTGCATCAGTCCCACTATAAGATATGAATCAATTTATGTGGGCAGTGACAGTAAATTGAGAAGATGAAGATCAAGAACAAGAAGAAGGAGCTGTGATCGTTGGAACATGACTTTTATTCACCTGGTGCTTCAACATCCCTCGCGGATCCTTCATCCGTAGCAGAAATGCGTCATCAACAAGTAGTCACGTTTGAGGGGTGTTAATTTCGCAGGCCGCCGAGAAGTTGTTTATTCGAAAATTGGCTTGCTCTTCTCTGTACTAACTACGCAGGAATTCTCCTGTGCAACGACCGTCTGACCAACCCGCACGAATACGTCCATTGTGCGTCACAGAGAGTGGGCGCAGACAGAGGAGTTGCACGTGATGCAATTGAGGGACACTGACCGTCGAGTTTGACTCGCTCCACCGCGCACTGCAGCAGGCTGAAAACAAAAGGCGGTTACTTGTGCGTGAATTAGTTTTCAGTGATTACAGATCTGCACTGCATCACCAAACTCTCTCTCTCTTTCTTCATCCGCCCGTCCGTCCGTCCGTCTGGTGTCATGGCAACGTAAAGAAGATGGCAGGTGAGGGGGCTCGAACGCGCAGGCGCCGGGGACGACGAACACCGCCCCGAAGCGCACCAACAGGCTCCTTTGTCGTCAGCAAACACCTAATGAGGGTTTTTGAACAAGTAGCCAAAGGATGGAAGAGCGGTGGCACAAATTCCAGCTCTCACAGCCCGGGTTTCCGTGCCAAACATACCCTATACGCTCCACTTGGTCACACTCTACAACTGACCAGAGGTTTAACACGTCAAGAGGATAGGGGGGTAGTTCGGAGCCTATTATATACACCACCTGGTTACGGCCTACACCGGACTAAGATTCACGTATAGCAATATGATTGCGACACAGATGTATATGTGATTCATGCGTTAATGGAGAGGCTGTGTCATGAGGTGGGCGGGCGCGCGGTGATTTACCGCAGCATTCCGTGGA